AATAAATTTAACAAATTCTGGCATGGATTAATCCTTATCTTAAGTGGCCCGACGGAGCAGCAAACCGGGGATATGTCTTGTAGGATGTAATTGGAACCGACGAGCGATAGGCAACAAGAGTAGATTCTGGAATAGGATTTGTACTTGTAACAAAAATTGTCATTAATAATAGAAGAAAAATCTTGTGTATGTATTCACGCATACGACTTTTGTACCGATTTTAAACTAATTTATACAACTTTGTCCACTGGCGGATTCAGGATTTAATTTTTTTTGGGGGGGGGGGGAGGGGGAGGCTTCAGCCCGGATATAACGATAATTATTTTAGAAAAATAGAAAGATACTAACTACCTATATGAAATGATGTTTAAGCAATTCTTGAAGTCCTATTAAATCTAATTAAACGAGCAACTTTTTAAAAGACATAATTTTTTAATATTTTTTACCTTAAAACATGGTTACATTTTACCATTTTGGAGGGAAGGAAACAAAAAACAATAAAGTTAAACTAATTTTCCAGGAAAATTATGAAAAAAATTATTAAAGTGCGCACCAATGATGGACAGAGGTAAGAAAATTTTTATCTTTTTTAGCTTATGCCGCCGTAATTATTATAGTTATAAACTTCTCGGTCGGACATTTAGAATCTCTAGGGTCTCCTCTTTCTAATCAACACTTTAAAATTGAAAAAAAAAGACTCAGTTATGCAGGTATAATCTCCATTAAAAAAAAAACTACTTTTTGCACTAGTGATGGATACCTCGGAATTCAATGTTCTAGTAATGGACCGAGAGTTGATATCAGTAATAGTTTATTTATTTAGCAACATCTTACGACTTCTTTGATGAACTAAAGCAATAGTCCGTGGTACAGATCCCTTTTCATCAAATTATCAACATAAAAAATCATCTAACGTAGCCTACAACATTTTTATTTACAAAAATTCTCGGAATTGGGAAGTTTTCAATCTGGAGATCGGCAAACTTTGTCTATTTAACTAGTTATTAAAAACCCATTAACAACCATTTGCTTTCCACTTGGATTGTAAGATAATTTGATCAATAAATCGAGAAAAAGGGTGGGCTAAAGAAATATTGGGCCGTTTGGCGAGACCTCCACCACCAACATGTCAAAATAACGAGGTTATATATGCCAAACTGCCCAATATTTTTGTATAAATTTTGTGATCATACTATATTAGGATTTAAGTGGAAAGCAAATGAGTATTAAACTAATTAATTTAATGAGAAAACGCACCATTTCTGAGGCTTTTGGTACATAAAAAATTTGTAGGTTACGATGAGATGGAGCCATTCACGAAGAGACGGATGTTAATGATATGATAAAAAGGGATTTGTACCACGGTCTACGATGTAAACCAACAACAAGGGTACGTGAATCGTCATTAATATTAGCGTATGAAAAAATAAACTATCAAAATATACATAAAATATAGAGGCTCTGAAGCGTAGTAAAATTTTTAAAAACTCCACATCAAAAATTACCTTTTAAAATATTCTATACAAATTTTACCATACAATGAATACTTTGCGAGTTAGGCACCAAATCATTTTTATTTTCTTTATAACTTTCGTTTTTAAATCATCATGAGAAAAGAACTTTCGAAGTAGAAGATTAAATGAAAGTTTCTTCGAAATCGTTAGAGCCATGTTGCGATACAGCCCATGGAAAAATATGTTTTTCTCATATTGCGCAAGGAGAGGTCCAATTCGTTCCCAGGTATCTGTAATCAAAACCCTACAAAACAAAAAAAGAAGCAACAAAATCATTCTACTGGTTCCCGAGATTTTGGCACAGACAGACCAATAGCAGAAAATGTTTTTTCCGTACACACAAGACTCTGAAATGTAAAGAATCGTTGTACAGCACATATCGAAAGTTTGACCTGATCGCAATACTTTCTTTACATAGTCGTAGTAGGATAGTAAATAAAAATCCAACGCCATAGAATTGGCAATAGAAATTCGAGCCGAAAACAATTATTTATACAAAGAGAACTACAATAATATAGGCAGGCTTAGGTAGATTTTATTTATAAACAAGAAATGGATAGATAGGAATAGTGGGTATAAAGTTTCGTTAACACATTTTACAAACTAAGGGAAACACGAATGTTTAAATGAATAGTTTCTCTATACTAGTGTTTGTGGCGAATCGTTCTGCTATCGGTTTTTTCAAGAGAAACCTTTACTGTTCTGTGTTGGTGGCGAGATATTATTGGATTTAATGGTTCTTGAATGAGTGAATTTCCTTCAGCCGTCTTTTGCTTTCTTTTGTTCCTTTATTAAATCATAATAGTTTTGGGGAAATGACATTCCAAACGATGACTGTGTTAGTTTTTACAGACATACAGATACCTGGACCACGTTGGATAATAATAAACTGAGGATAATCAAACCGACCGTCAGTTGTTGGGCCTCGTCCTCCAGGAAGTGTAGAAGAGAGGAAGCAGTCATCACACGCCTCAGAATTGGACATTGCGGGTTGACCCATGGCTACCTGATGGCAAGGGAAGATCCCTCTCAGTGTCAACTCTGTAAAGTGGCTCTCACAGTGAGCCATATCTTTGAGGAGTGTCCTCGCTACAGGAGAGAGATGGAAAGACGTGGTGTACCTCGTCATAGAGGCACTGACAGATAACGAACAACGTCGATACGTACCATTACTATCGATATAGTACCATTCAATTCAATTAGAACATAGGGCTAATTCAAATAATCTGAACTAAATTATTTTTCTCATAAATTTGTGATATATTACCTTAATTTCTATTTACTCTATACTTTTTTCTCTCTCTTCTCGATAGTAATTAATATATATTTTTTTATTATTCTTTTTTAAAACATATTTAATTTTATAATAGTAGTTTAAAGATTGAAAAATAAATCAATCAGTACAATTTGAGGGCAATGATAACCGTCAGCAGTTTTTTGCCCCTAAACCAACAACAACATACATACAGATACAAAAAGGTGTAAAGACTCCTTGGTTTCTTGTTTTCGTCTGTTTTATGTTTCTTGTGTCTTTGAAATTTAAATTTAATAAATAGAATTTACCAAGATATCTTTTTCCTTTCTTTCCTCTTCATTATCAGAAATGACAAAGGACGGGATTAATATAGATACTCTGTAGATGGTTCTTTTCAACACAACAATTCAACAACTTTCTTCAAAAAATTACTTAAGAGAGGGATGGTTCCCTAACTTCCAAACCAAATGCTTTTAATGTAAGTTAGAAATGCATTTTATTTAGATGCCTTCTTCCACTTTCTCTGTCTTGAGGTCCTGATCGAACTAAAAGGACTGAGGAAATTTTAGTTCAATTTTCATAAAGCCAACATTCGCTGCCTAAATAAAAAAACTCTGGAAAGTAGACTCAGTAAAGCTTTTTCACCAATACCATTTGTTACATAATCACTTATATTTCAAGGTATATGATTTAGCGTTTGGGAATAAAATGTACTGGAAAAGCCGCATTTTTTTAATATAGTTTATTAAAAACCAGCTGAACTGGTGTTCTTTAAAAAACTTGAATGGTGTAGAGAAAAACGAATTTACAATTTGGGCATAGACTTCGTTTTCCCTTTGTAGTTTTTTTTTTTTCTTGCAAATTCCTTTTATGCACGTTCGATCCGATAGGATTCTCGTACGTATTTAAAATAAGAACTTTTGTTAGAAAGGAAAGGTAGAGCCTAGTGAGGAAGGAGAGGCACAAATTTCAAATACAAAACTTAGAAATTATATATCATTTTTATTGTTACTCAATAGCATTGGTCCTGGCAAAGTAACATACTAAAACAAATGTAACAACCAATATTTCATTAACGATAAGGACCTCAAAGAAAATGGAAATAATGATAAGACATTAAGCATTAATTTAACAAAAGTAAGATAACATTCAGTAAACAATTTAAAATTATATACATAATTTAAATTTTCGTTGTAAATTTAGGCGAATAATTTAAATTAAACAAAAAATTCTGATGATGAGGAAAATTTCCAACGAAACGACAACATAATAGAGGAAATTTTAAAGAAAGTTTAATTTACCAAATAAACATATGAAATTTGTATTTATATTTTTTGTTGATAACTGTTATTAATAATTGTACATGATAAAAGAAAGTGAGTGTTTTCAATTTCTTCAACTGATACATTTAATCAAACCGACTTTCATAAAGATCAAGTTTTTTTCTGCTGACTAAGTCATATATTATTCGAAATATCCCAGGCCACTTAAACCCATAAAAATGAAGCTCCACTGTAGTTCAAATAAAACCCATGCTAATCCGGCCCGGAGGACCAAAACCATCGCAAAAAGCTTAGGTTGATATTAGTTATCCAATATTTTGCTTCCCAGATCTCGGAACAGTAGCGAAATGAGAATAAAGAACAAAATCCAAGACAGGTATATGCAGGTATACAAAGATCAGCCCTGGTAATAACAGTGAAGAAGAACAGAGAAGGAAATTCCTCGAGCTCAATGAGAGAGGAGCCTAGAGGGGGCAATGAGTTATTTATCAATGGAAAGGGCTGGGGGAGGGAGGGGTTAATAGCTCCACGATTTATGAATGAAAACCAGTTGGTTGTTTTTGCTGGTCGGGCGGAAACATCCTGTTCCCCTCCCACTTGTAGCATGTAATGAATCATTAATAGAGAGCGCTGGTGAGGGGGAGGGGGGAACTGGGCCAGGGACCGTTAGCTCGGCCTAGCCTTTCTCCAGTCACTGGAGTCCAGCCTCAGGATAATTGTCCGCTCTTCGGAGGGCTCAAGATAATTGTCCGCTTTTCGTAGGGCTTCGAGGCACTGCTTGAAAAGAGGTAAGGGAAGGTCTATAGGTAGTTACTAACCTAACTAACAGTGTTTCTTGTTACAGGTTCACCTAAAGCTTTGAAAGGCATAATGCAACAGAACTAGAAGAAATCTGAAGAGGGTCTCCAGGAAATGCCAAGTCACTCCCTAATTGAAATATAAATAAAGGTTATATTAAAAAAAAAAAAAAAAAAAATCAATTATCACAAATATTATGTATATGATTCTTAAGGAGATATCAATAAAAAAAATGAAACTATTTTTGTATCTTTAACTAAATTTAATTTATGACCGAGATTTGAACGAACAGTAATGAAAAAAACAATATTTATTGGGACAACTTTCACTTAAAGGGGACCAACACTATATATCAATTTTTTCATTAATATAAATCGAATTTTAAAACTTGTATAATTTCAATTATACAAAAAATATACATTAGCAGAAAATAATATTGCATTAAAAAGTAGATTTTGTTTTCCATCATTGTCATTTTGTTTTAACATATAATTGTCCTTTACATTATTAGACTTATATAAACGTTTCAGTTTTTATTTATAGTTATTATTCCATTTGTCTAAAAAATAATCTGAATTCGTTTACATTTTGTATATTATTACACTAATTCATGTACATTCATATACTACGCCATGTGTGCTGTGTGCTTTTTTATTTTATCAATAAGTATTTCAAATATCAGCATTTAAAAAAAAAATAAAAGAAAAAATATATATATGTTTGCTTACGGAGTCGGTTTTGAACCATTTCGTGTAGCATATAGAACCCTGAATCCAAAATAATTTTTTGTCGATCGGTGGAGCAATTCTCAAGTTACGAAATTTTTTTTGGCTGTCGACAAAGTTTCGAAGGGTCTAGTAGCATAGGCGAAAATTTCGTGCAGGAAGAGTTTCAAAGGACAACGAAAACGAATCTGATGTGCTTCTTCATAACAAATAATGATGAAGACTTGGTATACTTTGCTGGAAACGCCTTTTGGTTTTTATAATTTATGATGCATTATAACTCATTTAATATAACAGTCAATATTTTATCAATAAATCACTTGATATATAGTAACCTAAAAATGCCGGCGCAGCAAAGGCAAAAATAAATAAAATAAATTTTATTTGAAATTAAATAAAATATGTTTTTCGTGGGTCTATTTCCTATTGGAAAGAACACCAAGGTAAACGTTTTTCGATGTAGTGTCACCGAAAAAAGTTTGGTCGAAATCGGTGACCTACTGAACGTATACTTGTCCAGTGTCTTTTTTTTGACACATTTTTTTTTTCTCTAACTGATTATTAGATTAATTAAATAAATTAATTTCCGGTCCTTGGTTTGTAGTTGTATTACTTACTAAAAGAAAATAAGTAAATTATTGAGATGTATAGAAATCAAACCAGGATACATTTTTTATTTATTAAAAATATCTCAGACTACAGATATCCACTAAACATATAAACAAGCAATTAATCTAGAACTTTGGGGTTCCGCAAAACACGTCCACATAAACAAAATTCAAACCGTATAGTCCAAAATACTTCGAAAAATCGTAAATGCACCTTCACTTATTTCAAACCATACTATGCACAACGAAATGAACATACCAACACTTCTACATACATAACAAATACACAATATTCCATACTTTAACTATTTATCATCCAAACCCTCTTGTCTTCTTCTTTCTTCCTCCCTGTTACCTAGTAAACCTCGAAGAGTACTAAAAAGGCAATGGTCTAGAGATCTGCTCAAAATATAAAAAAAATCAAGAAAAACAAAGACAGCAAACAACACATTGATGCGTTGTAACGCAGTTGTAAAATGTATATGTAAAATCAAAAAAATTAAAAAGGTTTTTCTATATTAGTTATTCTCCTTCATTTACCTTTCCAATAGATTATTAGTTCGTTGAAAGTTGTCATAAATAGCAATTTTTTTTTTTTTTTTAAACAAAGATGAATGCATCAGTTAGTGATAGGTTGGATTTTAAATGTAAATAATTAACCAGATGTATTTAATACAGTATACAGTTGTAAATATCATATAAATAAATAAATAAAATAAAAAATGTAAATAATAAGCTTCCTTGTTAATTTAAAGGTTCAAGTATTTTTTCTAGATTGAAGAAAATTACCACTCTATTGACAATTGTATGAACAAAGTTTCGAAAAGAAAATTTTGAAATACTATTATTTTTTTTTAATAGTACCTTTCTACTAACAGTTTTGCTAAGAGTAAGTCGAAAATTTACGTTACGTTATCTTTATAGTTAAATAAAGATTTTAAAATTTTTCTGAGGTATGTCCATTACTGGTACCGACCTCCTGTTCATTACTAGAACAATTGAATTTCAATACTTGCCCCAAATTGCAACGCAGCTGTAAAATGTACATGTAAAATAAAAAAAAAAGTAAAAAGTAATTTCTACATTAGTTATTCTCCTCCATTTACCTTTTCAATCCATTATTAGTTCGTCGAAAGCTATCATAAAAAGCAATATTTTATTTTTTTTTAAACTAGGATGAAGGTTGGACTTTAAATGTAAATAGTAAGCTTCCTTGTTGATCTAAAGGTTCCAGTTTTTTCTAGATTGAAGAACAATACCACTATATTGATAATTGCATGAACAAAGTTTCGAAAAGAAAATTTTGAAATACTATCATTGTTTTTTCTATAGTGCTCTTAAGATCAGTGTGTTTCATACCTTCATACTAACAGTTTTGCTAAGAGTAAGTTGAAAATTTATGTTACGTTATCTTTATATAGTTAAATAAAGATTTTAGAATTTTTTGAGATATGTCTATTATTGGTACCGACCCCTGTCCATTACTAGAACAATGGAATTTCATGGTGTCAATCACTAGTGCAAAAAGGTGTTTTTTTACATGGAGGTTATATCCGCATTATTCAATATTTTTTCAATTGTTAAATAGAAAAAGAAGACAGTGGCAAAAGCCAAAAAATTTCTTTAACTATGTCCATCCCTGATACGCTTACCCTAAATATGTGTTAAATATCCCATGGCACCCGTAGCAACTAAGAGGCTTTCGGAAAGAACTACAATTTATCTCGAATATACTATATTGTTGGGCTTTAAAATGTCGAACTTGAAACTTCCTATTTTTTTCAATGATTTCTATTAAAGTTGTTATAAGAATTTGAGGATCGAAATTGCAATTTGTAACTTCTTCATATTTTTTTTTCGTTTTATACCTCTTACATAATCCTTCGGAGAGCCGGAAAAGATCTGTACTACCGAAATGATCTGTACTACCGCATTACATACAGAATAGATTTTTAAACGTTTAGATCGATAAGTGATGACATGACAATCGATTCGCTAGAACTATAATCGATACGAAGAGGCTATCGAACCCAGGCTAATTGTCGCCTACGAGGCAGAGCCAAGCTGATTAGGAACATGTGCACGTGGCCAGCTCATCTTTCACACCCTTCTCCGTCATCTTTTTACTTCTTTTTTTTCTTCTTCTGGTTCTTCTTTAATGACCATACTGCCTTTTGATTGGCTCCCTCCTTCCAGGTACCTCCAACTCGGATGTTTTTCACCCGGTCAGGGTCCCACCTTCATTAGGATTTTTTTTTTTCTTTCTTCAACCTCTCTTCTCTTGGACCACTCTATTTTTTATTCTTTTGGCTTAATCATTTCTCAGATATTAAATGCATCAAAGCCTTTTTATTCTTCCTGCTTGTCAGTTGAGAAAAATCATTTAATAAGTAGTAAAAACTACATATGAATATGGATGTGTGTCTTGCCTATGCCTGCCTAATAGGTTGATGTTTAAGAATTAATTATAGAAATCTATTATGACTCGCTGCTTTATTTTATTTGTCAATGATATAGAAATTATGCAATCCTGCGTTTGATAGTCTCACGTTTCGGCACAAATTCTTGATCAGAACATCTGAAAAACTGTCTGCCAAGTAAGGACAGTATAGCTTCCTTACCATTTTTGTTGGTTCTACGTTTACCTATATCTCAAGGTCTACAACAACGAATAATACTTTTACTAATTCTCACCTTTCTTTTAGCTTTGAGCCAAATCGAAGGAGCCGTTTCTGAGATATCTGCATATCTTAGAAAATACATATGCGCGTGCGCAACCGAAAGTACGGTACAAAATTTAGTAAAATCGATACAGTATCATTTTTTTACCAAAACCCACTTTTCTTTTAACTTCCGGCCAAATAGAACGAGCCGTTTCAGAAATATCTGCATATCTGAGAAAATACATTTGACCGAGCGAAACAGCAAGTACTGCACAGAATTTAAATTAAAATCGATACACCTTTATAATTTTATAGTTGAGCTAAATCAAACGTGATGTTTCCGAAATATTTGTATATCTAAGAGAATACATTTTCGCGTGGGCAACCAGAAATACTGTACGGAATTGAATAAAATGGAAACAGCATCATTATTTTACCGACTCCACCTTTCTTTCAACTTTGAGCCACATCGATCGTACCAGTAGCCAGTAGCCAGTTGCCACAAGCCCGTTGCCAGTAACCAGTATCCAGGAGCCAGCAGCCAGCAGCCAGTATTGAGTAGCCAGTAACCAGTTATCAGTTACCAGTTACAGTAACCGTTACCGTAACCGTTACTGTTACAGTGCCAGTAAAAAATAGCCAGTAACCAGTTACTGTAACCGTTACTGATACAGTAACCGTTACCGTGGCAGTTATTAGTTACCAGTTATCAGTTACCAGTTACAGTACCCGTTACCTTTACAGTAACCATTACAGTTACAATTGCTGTTACAGTTCCAGTTTCGATTCCAGTAGCCTGCAGCTAGTGGCCAGTTGCCATTAGTCAACAACCAGTAGCCATTAACCAGTAGCCAGTAGCCAGGTAACGGCTGCTGGTAAATAGCTAGTGACTACTGGCTGCTGGCTACCTAATAGCTGTCACGGTAACGGTTACTGTATCAGTACTGGTTACTTCAACTGGTAACTGGTTACTGGCAACTGGCTAGTGGCAGCTGGGTACTCGCTGGTGGCTACTGGCTACGTGTTACTGGCTACTGGCTAGTAGTAGCTGGCTACTGGCACCTGGCTACTGGCTACTGGCTGCTGATTAATGGCTACAGGCCGCTGGTTAATGGCTACAGGCTGCTGGCTAACTGATAACTGGAACTAATAACTGTCACGGTAACGGTTACTGTAACTGGTAACTGGTTACTGGCAACTGGCTACTGGCTACTTGTTACTGGCTACTTGCCACTGGCTACTGGCCTGTGGCTACGGGTTACTGGCTAGTGGCAGCTGGCTATCAGCTACTGGCTGGTGGCTACTGCCTACTTGTTACTGGCTACCAGTGGCTACGGGTTACTTGCTACTGGCTACTGGCCGTTTCTGAAATATTGGGATCTAAGAAAATAAATTTACGCTTGCGCAACAGAAAGCACTATATGGAATTTAATGAAATTGATATGGGACCATCTAGGCAACTCGCACATAATAATTAAGTATTAAATTCACAACGGACTTTCCAATTATATTCATAATAAATTAAGTACGTCCTTATTTAAAACAACAATTCGCATTATTAAAAGCACAAAGTCTTTGCTAAGAATGATCAGATTTGAACGATTTTTTTTTCTCGAATATTTAATAACCTAACAAAAAAATGTGGATTCATGCTCTGTTGAAAACTGCGCATCGAAAATTTGACAGGATTACAATACTTCCCTTTACCAAGTGGCTGGAAAGTAAAGATATGCTAAATGAATAAATTACTCGAATAGACACCTAATAGAAAGTCTATAAGAAACGAACAAAGGAATAATGTGATAGTGATAATTGCATTTTACATATAATGATTCATATTAGGTAATAACTACACGATCTCTCATAAGATAGCCAGTTCCATTGAATAAAAATTCTTCAGTTCATTCACATTCGAGAGTTTTGTAATCGTTACAAGGAATTAGTCCGTTATTATGAGCAGGATCCCACTTTCCCACCAATAACATTGAAAATAATGAAACTGATATCAAACTGATACAGTAGTAATATTATGCGACGACCTAGTAATGTATTGATTCTAACATTTTTATTAACCTTAGGTTATTAAAAGAGAGAGAGATAAAATATTCTGTATTAGTTTATAAACATTACAGAGCAGCTATTAGAAAATAAACATTTATTGAAAAAAAAAATCAATTTGAAGAATATTTTTCCATACTGAACAACTTTATAATGATAATAATAATGGCATTCGGAATCGCGAGATCAATTTGGCTCTTTTTATTGAAAAATTTATAATGATAAATAATAACAAATCTACAATAATAAATAATAAAAATAAAATAAAGCGACACTGCCGGAGACAACTTATACCGACCGGACGGAGTTATATCCGCACCAAACGTATTGAAAATTTGTGAAACAATGGCTGAAGAAACCTGGTCAATCAATATCTGATGATATGAAGGAACGGAGGTTAAGATGGGCGGGACATTTAGCTCAGAGCAATCCATCTGAAAGCCTCAACGCGACTACGAATGCCTCAACAGTAGTGAAAATACCACATTCAAGGCCAAAAAGCAGATGGATAGACTGAATCAACAAAGATGCAATAGAGCTAGGTGCAGAAAACTGCAAAGAAATAGCCCAAAAAAAGAGAAGAAGTAGGCTTGTTAAGGCGGCAACAGATCTACAAGATCTTTAATGTCAACAGAAAAAAAATGAAATAAAATAAAAGAATAATTTTGCATACCAAACAGATTTTGTCTGAATTGAAAGACGATTAAGAATAAAAACAAAGATATAACTATTAAATAAATTAGTTCTTAGACCTGCATAACAGAAAATAGTATATACAAAATAACATATGAACGAAGATTTACAATTTGCAAAATAGACAACTCAAATAATATAGTCCGTGGTACAGACGCCTTATTCTCGAATTATTAACATCCGCCTGAAACTTCGTAAATAGTTTCATCTCATCGTAATCTACAACTATTTTATTTACGAAAACTCTTGTAATTGGGGCGTTTTCAATCTGGAGGGGGAAGGCAAACTTTGCCTATTTAAGTAGGTACTAAAAACTCATAAATATCCATTTGATTTCTACTTGGATCGTAAGATAATTTGATGATCACAAAATAGATAGAAAAGGTGGCCTTCAAAAATATTGGGCCGTTTGTCCTATATAACCTCGTTATTTTGTAATTTTGGGGGTGTAGGTCACGCCAAACGGCTCAATATTTTTGAAGGTCACCTTTTTTTTTTTCAAATCAAATTAAAAGTATTCGGTATAATTAAATAGACAGTTTGCCAACCTCCAGATTGAAAACGACCCAATCCCAAGAGTTTTCGTAAATAAAATAGTTGTAGGTTACGACGAGATGAGACTATGTACTAAGTTTCAGGTGTATGTTAATAATTCGAAATAAAGGGGTCTGTACCACGGACTAATAATAGATATATCTGCATTTTAAGCAAGATAAATATTCCAGAAGGATCTTCAATCTTCATACAAAAAGCTTCAACCCTGAAAATATCGTGAAACGGAACTCGATAATAAGGCTACTTTATAAATTAAATCTCTAAAACTTGATGAATCAATGAATTGAAGAATGTTCGTGAACATTTAGGAAAAAGGAAACCTGATGTCCACTTCTTGATAATATCCAAACAATAAATAAGAATTACGTTAATTATATCAAAACCACCATTTTATACCAGTTAAATATAGCGAAATATTTCTTATTTTTTTACATGAGTGAAGTAATAGCACTCGAAATATATTTTTACTTAGCTAACCATGTCTATGGATAATAATTACAACTTTATATGAAAACATAATTCCGTACAATACCATAATTTTTAAAATTAAGATATGCAATTTTTATCGGACTGAGTTAACGTGACGTTTTCTTCCTCTTCCCTCATAAGGAGAAAACAATAATAAAAATGGTGACAATGAAATGCAACCTCTCACGGTAGAGCGTTACTTTCTAATTTAAACAAAAGGAAAAAAAATAAACGAAGGAATTGTTTCTTAAGACTTAATGCTCCTTAAATATTAAAATAGTAATGTTGTAAAAACTTTATATCTAAGTAAATGAAAAACAATACGTGTATATGAATTCTGTTGTTTAGTTTATGAGCAACCACAACCAGTTTTAGTTTTAACATAATAGTCCATGGGTACAAGTGGACCCATTTTTATCAAATTAATAACACACGCCTTCACACATCGTAAGCTACAAATATTTTATTTACGAAAATACTCGAAATTGGGGCGTTTCCAATCTGGAGATCGGCAAAGTTTGTCTGTTTATTTAAGTACCAAAAACTCATGAGTACCCATTTGTTTTCCAATTGAATCGTAAGATAATATGTACACACGATCGAAAACAAAATGCGGCCACCCGGAGAAGAAAGACACGCTACAGGAGAAAACTCACACCGACCGGACGAAGAAGTTATGACCGCACTCTGTGTATTGAAAATTTTCGGAATAGTCGTAGAAGAAACTTTCAATCATTGCGGAAAAGCACTCTAAATTATACAAAATTTTGCGATTTGTATCTATGGCAGAATTCAAAAAATCCGAATTGGATGAGTAATAGGTTTATTCATTAGTCATTTCAAGAGGACCAACAGATTCATTTAGTGGACTTGATCTTCCACGTCTTATTCATAGTACCTTAATAACGTATCGGGTGGTTAACCAGGTAAACAACCACCGGAGGTTTGGTCCATGGGCAATCTCTTTAGGGAAAGAAAAATTTGCAACTGTTGATCCTAAACAGCCATAATCCATTGACCTAGTTCTTTATTTATGAATTTTTGTTTGTCCTTAAATCCAAGTAAAACCCAAACCAGCGTTCGCTATCCGTGATACTTCAAGCAATTTATGTCTGTAGACATCCGCATCAAGCCGAAAAATTCTACTGAATACATGTATATAATAATAATAATAATAATAATAATGCTTTATTTATTCTGGGACGAGTTCTTTTAGAATAATACATAAAGACAAAAATGTGGGCTAAGGAGCCTCAGAGATTCATAAACAAAAATATAGTGTAATTGAATAGTCAAATTAAAAAAAATTATAAGTTACTTTCTAATTTAAATCAGTTAATAATAAAAAAAAAATGAAAAACGACGGTAGGAATGATAAAAACACTACAACTCTGCATAAAAACGCACAGAAGAGTCGTACAAAGATGAATCGTACAAAGCAATTTATCAAACGTTTTAATTTCGCCTCGAGATCCCCAGAGACGCCCCCATATACCGTACAGCAATAGTCAAAGTGGGGAAAAATTAAGGAAGTTACTAGGAGCTGGTTTCAAGGGGAAATAGGGGACGGGAGTAATTTAGACGTTTTGAGGTGGAAATGGTACGGCGGGAGATGTTGGATATATGATTTTTCCAGGAGAGCGTTTGATCAAAGATCATTCCAAGGTTTTTGATGGAAGGATAGAATTTGATGGGATTATGTAGGAACAGAGTTGGAATATTAGGAGCAGTTTTAAGGAGGTGATTGGAGCCTATTAAGATTGCCTTCGTCTTTTCTGCATTCAAATTCAACTTGTTTATCAAATTCAACATATATATACATATATGACACCATATAACAGGGTTAAGGATGTTTGAGAGGGCTCATATTCATGGAGCTATGCATCTTAGCGATGCTTCACTTGAAGAGAACCTTTACCGAACGAACGAAGTAAAACTCAAATACAATTTTTATTATTTTATATTCATTTGAACCGTTTTAAGAGAAAATTACGTTTTTTTGGGGGGGGGGGGAGGGGAGGGGAGGCGTCCACCCTTGAGAAGGACAGGCAGCTCTCTTTATAGGGATTTTCATCGAACAATTATTACGGTTTATTTTATACAAAAAAAAAAAAAAAAAAAAAAAATGCAATTAGCCAGCTAATGGTTTTAAAATGAAAGGCTGTTGGAAGAATTAAGCTGACATTCTTTCAGACTAATACCTCAATCGTTGGCACGAGATTTAAATAGTGGCCAGTGATTAACACTAACGGTATCTGATTAATCTAATCAAAGATTGATTATAGACTCGCTGGATATAATCAAGGCAACCTCTTAGCTACTGGGCAACACCTCAACCTCACCTTCCTTTCAACCTTTCTAATTTTAGTTATAGCTCAATATTTTATCTTTAATACCTTCTTTTACTATCAGAATGGGACCTTAAAGTTAATGGGTCACCGATTTCAACCATTTTTTTTTTCAGAAGAAAAAAGTGCGGTCAAAAATTACTATATTATATAACAGTATATTTATTGCATTTTTCAACGTTTTGCTCTACGTTATAGGTCTTCTTCAGGGCATTACGTCTGTTGAAGGCATTATCGATTTTTGTTTTTTGGTGACATTACATCCAAAAATATTGGACATATCTTTCCGGCGTTCTATCCAATAGCCTAAGGACACGAGAAAATAAAATAAATATAATTTCAAATTCATGTTATTTATTTTTGCCTTTGCTTTAATCGGATTTTTAGATTATTATATAACAATCGATTTTTTTTGCACAATAAAAAAAAAATCAAGTTAGATTTTCGTTATAGGGGTACTTTAAAACCCTAAATACGAATTTTTAGAGCAATAAAAAAATATAACCTTTATATTTTATAACTTGATATTTTTCTATACCGTCAACTAAAGCATCCATAACTCCTAAGAATTTTCTTCAAATCTAACGTTAATATAACCGTTGGAAACCTGAATTATCGCTCTTCTAACATCAATATATTTTTTTATTTCATTCCTCTTCTTTTTTTTTTTGTTCATTATATATTGAGTAATGTTTAACATTAGGTCAATCGAAAAATAGTTATAGTGAGGTAAGACCGCATTCACAATTCATTCCTTTTTAAGTTAGAAATTAAGGAAAACTACCCAAACGTTTTTATTTATATCTTTGGTTTAATTTATTACTTTTCGTTCAAATTATTACAAAGGTCGGTTTTGTACCATTTCAACATAACTAGAGTTGTCTCGAAGTATTTGCAATTTTCGTGGTTGTCGACCAAATTTCGAATGGTCCAGCCTAAGCAAAAATATCCTGCACAAAATTTTAATTTTTCGATTGCTGTCAACAATTTGTATTTACGGGGTTTTCGAGGTTCGAAAAACGAATATAATGTTGCTTATTATATTCCATACTAACAAACTTCTTAGTACATATATAAAAACCATTGAAAATTGGCATTTTAATTTATGGATTATGGCTTGTAAATCCATGTATTAATTATGAACAATTATGTTATTTTACAATAGTGGTTTGATGGTTGACAGTAGTGAATAATTGAAGAGAAGTTGGTTGGGTTGGTCAGTAAAAAACAAATAAAAAATAAATAAATGATATTTATTTTTTTATTAGCCGACGTTTCGGACCAAAGATAAAAATATGAGAAATTATTAACTAATCAAAAAAAAAAAAATATTATTAACAATAATCTAAAGAATATATGAAACAAAATAATAACAGTAACAGAGAGAAACTTATGAAATAAACAATAACAGTATTACAGAGGAACTAATAACATTAACAGGAACAGAGTTACTGTTACTCTCTGTTCCTGTTATTATTTCCTCTCTAATACTGTTATTATGTATTTCATAAGTTTCTCTCTGTTACTCTTATTATTTTTATTCATATATTCGCTACATTATTAAGGACCGTTGTATTATTAAGGAAGGGGATGTTCCGTAGTGGCTAGTGTTGCCCAAATGCGAGACCGAGACGAGTATCGGTCTTGCAAACTCAGTCTTGCTCCAGGTCTTGGTCTTGCGCAAGAGGCTCACAACAGTATTGCAGTTACATATTAGCTTAGTACTATAGAGATATTACTCTATTTTCGTACATAGGAAAAACTTAACTAAGCCTGAATGAAAAATTAGAGCAGTTAAATGCAAAAGTGTATTGGTTATACCAATTATTAATATATAGTAACTAAGATTGTCAAGTGTTAGTAACTATTTTGCTTAATTTTTTTTTTACCAGTCCTGGTCTTGGTCTTGCAACAGTGAGGCGGTCTTAGTCTTGGTCTTGCAGAGTGCAAGACCAAGACCGATTTTGGGCAACACTAGTAGTGGCGGTCAATAATCTTCAAGGGTACTTACCCAGGTTTTCCAATTCTAAGTGAAACTCCTAGCTGAACATACCTGTCTCTATTTACATTCTTCTAATTTTATTTACTTATTTATTTATTTTTGGTTTTTGTTTTCTTTCTCTGCACCCCTTTATGTCCATTATTTCATATTATATCCTTTTTCCTTTTCTTCCAATCCCTCCTGTAGATCTGTAGGAGTATATCAACAATTGCATATATTGTATCATATATTATACTACAACAATTGTTACCATCTATTTACTTCAGCTTAGGATCTTGTCACTTAGCTAACTCTGATTATATAACTTCTTCTTCTTAATATTTATAATTTCAATAAGTTTATTCACGTTGTTTATAATTTTTTATCTAAATATTATGTAATTTCCACAATTCTCTATACCTTGTCCGTTCTAGCCCTGAAGAAGACCAGCAAAGTGGTGTCGAAACGTTGGTTTTTAATAAAATAGTTTTGCCACTGTTTAGTCTATTTATGACCGCCACCCCGGACCATCTCCTTCCTTAATAAAAATAAATATATTTTTTTATTTATTTATTTTTTTATTGAACAACCCAACCAACTTCTGAACAATTACGTTATTTAATGTAGACAAGATTTTTATAATAGTTATTTTCGTTCCTTCTATAATAACATCACGGACAAACAATATAAGCAAGTAAATAAATAAGTACATATAAGAACGAATGATATGGGACAAACCAGTACAAAAAAAAAAGAAGGAATGTGGTGAAAGACTTACCTCCCAGTGACTAAAGACCAACTGGGGACTGGCTAGACCGGAAGTGGACTTCCTTATTTCCTGCGCAAAGTGAAAAGACTCGACAACCGGAAGGACTGCAGTTACCGTAAAAGAGGCGGATCCTTGAGTCATGTCGCCATGGAGTACCCTCCCCTGTCTTCGGCCCAGCACTGCGTACATCTTACCTGCAACAGCAATATATATATATATTATGTATTAGTTTAAATTAAATAAATAATACATTTACAACTAACATATATTATTAAAAATAATCTATAAGGTAATAATGTCATGCTTAATTTAAACAATTTACAGTCAATTATTTGAACCCAAATTGAGTGGCTACGAGTATAAATAAAAATAATAATAAAGTCTGGTGCGGTGACCACACATCACACAACTTTCGTATACCACCCTACTTTCATTAGAAATATTTTCATAATTTAGACATCTTCATATGTAGAGAAATGAAAGTAAAAATTATAGACGGTATAACATATTCATTTAAAAAAAAACAAATTACTAAAGAAAAAAATATGAGTTTTAAATATTATTGAAATATAATAGTCTGAGGCACAGAAACATTTTTATTAAATTATTAGTAAATGGATTCACTTTATAATCTACAACTTTTTTATATACGAAAATACTCTATAGGTACATATATATATATATATATATATATATATATATATATATATATATATATATATATATATATATATATATATATATATGTATAACTCAAGATATGAATTATAGTGGGATAATAGGTCATGAATTTCATATTATATTGATATATATAGTGGTCAAAAATAAAAAAATATAATTTTTCGTATGCATTCACGAAATATAGCAGAATATTATTCAGAAGATCCCGTACTTCCGACCTCTATCCACCTCCTCACCAAACTGCTGCGTTTGACAAATCCTTTATAATTCAAGCCGTCTCCTTCTGGAATACCATCCCTTCCGATATCCGACATGCGCAATCAATTTCCTGATTTAAATCTCTCCTTTTTAACCACCTATTCCTTTCCCAACCTGATTAATCAAGAAATGTAGATAAGGGAACTTTTTAAGTTCCCCCAGAAATGATTTTGTTCACTTATTTTATTTTATTTTCCCATGTTTGTTTTATATATATATATCAGTAAGTTTTTAGTTTTTCTTTTTTTTTTTTGTTTTTCTCTTCTTCCAATATTTTAACTTTAATGAGATTTGTAAATATATAATTTAATATATTGCCACACAGGCATTTTTTCTGTAACTATAAAATTATGACAAATGTCCTAAAGGGAAAACAGTCACAGAATAATGAAAAAAAAAATTTTTCATTTCAATATTTAAATTTGCCATAACTTTGGACTAATACCAGATAAATCAGTAAATGATATATGCATTTAAAGAAAAAAATATATTTTACAATTTTCTTTCGGACGATTTTCTTGTACAACCTAAGCCTGTGGTCCTTGAAAGACGAGCTTGACAAAAATCTTAAGGCAAAAATATATATATATATATATTTTTTGAAAATTGTCAATCCAATTCAGTGAATATATACTATAACATGTACCAAAGAAATGAATATGGACTTTCTTGAAAGGAATTTTATTAATTTGGTTAACAGCAATGTTTCATTTGTGACGTCTCTTTTTCAAGATAGATGAGAAAATCTGGGAAAAGTGACCTTTATAGCGACCCCCACCATGAAAGGAAACGGGTAGGGACTAGGACTTTGTTAGGAATATGTTTACCTCGTAAGTACTCCCAACAAATTCTAAAAGGCATATACTTGTGAATCCTCCATGCACTTTACAAGCACTTTTATGCCATTCATTTACTGGATTATCAGTAGACATTTTTTCCCAACTGTCGAAAGATACAAATGTAAATAAAAATATCTTTGATAAGTAATAAATTATCAGTGTCAATAATCGCTGAATTGTATAATTATTCAATAGAATAAATTAAAAAATATATATCTAAATGTAAACAGCTTGCAATTTTGTATATTGACGGCTTCTGCCCCACCACGACAAAATTTGAATGAGTGAGAATAAATAATATACAGTTAGATCTATTTGGCTGCTTAAACTTTCTTTATTGAATATTAATACATTCTGCCACATTGATGGGCATTAATATTAAGGCTACATGATTCATTCACACAATATGTACATACAATTAATATCAATAATAAAGAGAAAGAAATATAAAAAGAAATAAAATAAGTAAATTGGTATGCCTGTGTACAAAAAAAAATAATGAAATAATAGATAAAAGCTAGATGAAATTAAAGTAAATAAATCACATTCACACCTATGTACAATATTTACATTCACCCAGGGGACTCTGACTCATGCCTTATTCCCCGACGTGGAAGCCAAGGCAGGACTCAAGGAGATCCCAGTGCTTCTCTCTCAGCCGCGTCAATGTTATTTGAAACCAGTGGAAACTGATGGAGGGCACTATAGCAACAGACGCTCATGTCTTCAGTGAAGAATCTGGCCATTGCCAGTACTCCAATATATACTTATTTACAAAAGGTGGCGGGGCCACTGCCGTTTTAACCTCCGGGGAGGGATGACTGGAGCTAGATAGGGATTGTGCTACAGGATTTGGATGATGAATGAGTTTCTGGTGAAATTTGGAAAAATTTTCTGGGATTAGGGTCAATAACAAATGGCATATGAAGGTCATTATGGAGGGTTTTGTTGGATACATAGAAGGGAGCATCGACTATTGTTCGGAGGATTTTAGGCTGGAAGGATTGAATGCGTTTGATGTTAGAAAGTTTTGCTGTCCCCCACAGTTCTATTCCGTAGGTCCAAATAGGTTTCAGGATTGTCTTGTAGATTAATAGTTTGTTGTCGACTGAGAGTTGAGATTTTCTATTCAATAGTCTATATAGTTGTCCGTATCGTCTGTTAAGTTGTTGTCTTTTAAGTCTGGTGTGTGGGTTCCATGTTAGTCTTTTGTCTAGATCTATTTGGACTAAAAAAAAAAAAAAAAGACAGAATATGATTTCCAAAATATCAAAAATTAAAAATTCATAGGAAGAAGTTGATAGTTTTGTTATTGATAAACATACCTATTGCTGTAACAAAATATATTAATATTTTAACTGTTAGAATTGAACTTTTAGAGAACCGATGCCGATTTTACCAAAGATCTTCCTAAGTTGGCATAGTATTTTATTTTATTTTATTTTTTTTATGAAACAAGATCGGGATTTATGTTATCCTTCAATTAACGTCTCGCACGTGCCTATAGGCTAAGTCACTTCGTTATTCAGCTTTACTATTCAGCCCACCTTTTCATCCCCACGAAAAATAATATAAGTACGCTGAATTTTAATGACGAACGTTTTGAACAGAAAAAAAAAAAACACATAAATTTATCATGAAGAATAAAATATAAGTGGCATGCTATTATTTCCATACATTATCTTCCCGAATAATATATCATCCAACTCTTGTTATATGACAACTTTAGTAATAGCTTTCCACTCCCACCTTAATCGCTTTCCACTTAAGTTTAAGGTCAAGTATTGTATTTGGATGGAATATTTGTCAAAATTTGTTCTGTGCATCATGTCTAAAGTTCTTAAAAGAAAATTAATATACCTGATTATTCTGTTGTATTATCCGTCATATGAGAAGTTATTCTTAAGTGAATTTAGAGGTTATTTTAACTTTATTTTTTTTAACCAAAATTAACAAATTGCTTTTCCTTCCAAAAATTCATCTATGAAAAACATTTAGTAAAATTTTATATTAAATAAAATTTATTAACGAAAATGGATGTCCCATACTGATAAAAATAACAATATCTGTCAAAGAAAACCAACAAATTAATTAAATAAGTAAATAAAATTAGAGACTTACAGGTGTGTTCAGCTAGGAGTTACACTTAAAACTGGAAAACCAGGATAAGGGCAGGTATTGGGGAATTTGCTGGTTTGTTTGGGTAATGGGGAAAAACCTAGAAAATTACAATATCTAAAATTTGAAGATATGGATGGATACGAGAGAAAAATACTATGTCAATGAAATATTAAATTATAAATATATTTATAAAATTTTATATTTATATTTTGTCTAAATATTATTTAACTTCCACAATTCTCTATCTTTTTGTATCTTGTCCGTTCTAGCGCTGAAGAGGACCTGCAAAGTCAGGTAGAAACGTTGGTTTTTAATAAAATAGTTTTACCACTATTTAACCTATTTATGACCGCCACCCCGGACCATCTCCTTCCTTTATAATGCCACGGTCAACTATTAAATATTCAATATTTTTATTCATCACTATACACACATCCACATATATACGTTCATCTTAATTCTATTAATTTCCAAATTATCGTTACTCAAATAAGATAGTTAGATAGTTTATTTTATTTGTCTAAGGAAATTCCTGTACAAATAAATATAATAGTATATTTAACAATGTTAGATCTTGAGTCTAGTACTGCATTCAAACATAACATTAACAATGTCTACAGCATTAAGTATGACTAATATAATAACAGATTAGTAAACGAGATATATATATATATATATATATATATATATATATATATACACATAACAATTAGTAAAACATTTTTTATTATTTTTTTAAATTTATTTATTTTGTTTTTAAATATTCGAGAGGTATAAGACAAATGACAATATAAATAAGAATTAATATATGTTATATGATTTACTTTACCACTTAACAGTTCAATGAACAGCCCTGTTACTAATAATACTAAATAATACAGTTGGTTTATTTTTTTCGTAGTGTCTATTTTTAGTATCTCCTCCACACTAGCATCTTCTCTGGATTCAGTGATAAATGCCTTCAAGTACTTATTTCTCGGCTCGTTGAACTTGATAAATTGGATCAGAAAATGTGTTACCGGGTCATTGACAAGGCAGTTGCATGCACCACACACCTCACTGGATTTAATAGTCAAAGTAGCATCTTTTAAGTATATTTTTATAAAATCTTTATTTGCTACTCTGAGGCGACTAACGGCTCTTAATTTTCGTTACTCAAATAATTAAATACTAATTAATTCTAGCAGTAGATTAATAAGTGTCGGGCAAAACGTTTGGAGGACACAACTACGTCACGAAGGCCACATGTTACCCACCTATGATCTTTGCTTTCGATTGTTGGCAATTTTT